CATCCTAGTTAAAACCCGGGTGTTTTAACGAAGCCCATGTGGCCATCGTCTGCAGAGAACTCCTCCTGGGGCTGGACTATTTACACAACGAAGGCAAAATTCACCGCGACGTCAAGGCTGCCAATGTTCTCCTTTCTCAGACCGGAAAGGTGAAGCTGGCAGACTTTGGTGTCGCTGCACAGCTGGTCAACATCAAATCGCAGCGCAATACATTCGTCGGAACTCCATTCTGGATGGCACCGGAGGTCATCCAGCAGGCTGGATACGACTTCAAGGCAGACATTTGGTCCTTAGGTATCACAGCAATCGAGATGATTAACGGAGAGCCCCCGCATGCCAGCACACATCCGATGAAGGTCCTATTCCTTATTCCGAAGAACCCCGCCCCTCGCCTGGAGGGCCACGAGTACAGCAACACATTCAAGGACTTCGTTGCACAGTGTTTAACAAAGGATCCGGATCTGCGGCCCAGCGCAAAGGAGCTCCTGAGACACAAGTTCATCCGGAATGCGGGCAAGGTTGAGTCATTACAAGAACTGATTCATCGCAAGCAGGACTGGGATGGTGGCCGTAGCGAGACAAGAGATACGAAATACTATGCTGAATCTCTCAATACCATGACCAGGCCCGATGATCTTGATGAGGATAATTGGGTCTTTGACACCGTCAAGGCTCCTCCAATGTGGAAGCCCAAGGGCACGGATTGGATGACATTCGACGAGGACGAAAACACACCTGACCCAGCCCAGATGCTCGAAGACATGCATATAAACGCACCTCCACCACCGCCTAAGCACCAGGCAAACTGTACCGTTCGCCGAGTCCCTACCGACCGATCTCCGTCGGTCAGACGGGCTAACACCAAGCGTCGCTCAAGTGGCGTCAAACAACCCCTTGGTCTAGACTTAAGCTATGGCAACAGCCCGTCTACAGTCAGACAGTTCCGTCGGGTATCGGACAAAGTCACCACCGATCTGAATTCAGCCAAGCAGGTATTTGATGAAAATCAGAGCCCGAAGACGGTGTCCACCCCCACCGACACCTCAAGCAAGGAGGCTCAGATTGGACGACGTGCGTATAGCAAGGCAGTTGGAATTTCCTGCCAGGAAGTCCTGTCAACAACAGGAGATGGCGATAAACGGGAGGCAATCTCAAGACTCGCTGAAGCCTGGAGCGACCTGGAAATGGTCGATCCCGAAGGCCTCTACCACATCGTCAGAATCATGAACGAGAAGCTGCAAGCAGACCCCCGCCTCTTTACTCTTCTCCCATCTACACAAGCTGATTCTCCTTCGCGACCACGCCTCGTACTGGCCCAAAACAACCCACACCTCAAAAGCCACCGTCGTCGCCAATCCTACGTCCCCGAACCCCAATCCCAGTCACCTCCATCCGTCCCCGCTCAAGCTGCACCCGGTATGGAACACACCAAACAACTCTCTGACGTCCTGTACCAGCGATGGTCGGAGGGTCTCCGCAACCGCTGGGGCGGCATCTAGCTTCACCTTTCGACCATCCTCACGCTTCTTACGTCAACCTCAACACCCCCTACTACTCTTTGTTCCATTCGCAGTATAAGCCCAACTTAGGCGTTCTGAAACTTTTTACAACCCTTTACCATTGACTGCATCTTTGGTGTCCGTTCGTTCGTTCCGTTTACTGTCACTTGCTCTTGTGGGACTGGTCTCGGAGTTACTAATGATCTGGTGTAATCTTGTTGCGCTTTCTTCTGTACTCTCTTTTTTTTTCCGATAGAATGCTGCCTGTGCTTCTGTCTTTGTCTATTGACCCCAGGTCTTTTGTGTGATTTTTAATTAATGTGTATTTTCCAGGAGCATTTGAACATACCATGTCTGAAATGTGATAATGCCTTGATGTTTTGCATCGCCTCGTCCTTCCTTCTTCAACATATCTCTCCTAGACACCACTCATGTTGTGATTCAAGACCTCGTGTGGATCTAGCATTGATGACAATTGACTACGTCGAAGAGATTTACTTGAGATCAGGAGGAATAAAAAGTCATTTTGCTCAAACAAATTCCAATCATCTTCAATTCTCAGGAGAAAGACTTTGGCTGGGTTTGACAGCCACCTCCCTCATGGCAGGCGATTTTCCAAGGCTGATAATCCGACGATACGCCCTGTGAACAACCTCTGGATCTCACAGCAGAGCTGAGTTCAATGACCACTCTGCAGGTCCATGTTTCTGGACAAGCATTCAGCGAAGAGCCTCTCGTTTTTCGCCAACCCATTGCAAAACTCCACTGTTTGCTCCTAAAGACCAAGGAGTAAAAAATATCCACGTCACGGCTAAGAGTAGTGATTCATTCGGTGAGTTGGACTGAAACAAGGCGAAAAACAAGCATCCGTAGTGGCCTTGTCCCTACCAATGACTCACTTCTTGACCCTAAAGTTCCCACCCAACATGTGTTGACCGCTGCATTACAGCGCTTATGAATAAGCTAGGTGGCTGCCCTGTCGTTGTATGGCTGATGGTTCAAGAAACAGCACCTCCCATGGCCTTTTACCATGAACTTGAGGGATGGGTCCTTTGTGGCCCATTTTCCCCTCCAGGGTATCTGTTCCCCTGTGATATAATCAAATGGACCCTTGCCCACTTACCTTGGAAGGTGCCGAGAGATCTGGATTGTCGGTGTTCCGGTACAAATCACACCGTCGTGCTGTTGCTTTTGAACCTCAGCTTGTATACTTCCCAGTCGACTCACTTCAGTCTGTCCTCTCCCGACAAACATCTACCCGCGCCCTACCTAGGCACTGTTGATCAGTGACACTGACTTTGTCAAGGACAGGTTTTGGTCAATTCTCGCGACTACTCATTGAGGTCCGGGCCTTGGTTTTCATTTTGAACTACACAGTTCCATCATCGACCCGCATTCTGATGCAAGCTGTTTTTGCTATGAGAACAGGAACGATCCGATGGCTGACATATCACGATTCATACAAATTCATGGGCAAGATCGCTCCATCCGAAAGCGTATCCGGAATCTCCTCACAAATGTGAAGTTTGGTTAGGCTAGCTTACCACATCCATATTCTATCTCCTCGGAATATCGTGAGTTGCCTTCAAAGATGCCACAAAGGCCCTTTAGTCTAACGACAGTACCCCCAAGGGCTTCGATTTCCCAACTTGGACTGAGGAGCAACGGATAGTGTCAGCCTTTGGGCGGGTCATATTTTTTTTTCAAATGAGCTTACAAAGGAAGCCATGAAGGACTCGTTGCCATGGCCCGCCAAGGATAGAAAGCGCTTATTCTCCGGAAATCAGCGGTCCCGCAAAGGACCTATCAGATCATGGCCACCCCTTACCGCGCTCTTTTATATCGAAGACATTGCATCGGCAGGAAAGTCAAGTGATCAAAACGGCGTGAGATCTGAAGCCCTTCCAGTTGCCCCCCTCTTCCTAAGGAGACGGAAGTGGCCTGCAAGTATCAATCACTCATTATTGGGAACCTGGCAAGAAGCCACGGGAAAGACCTTGGGGGCTCGACCATGTGTTCCAACGATTACATTGAGATGTCGGTGTTGCCTACAATGGCATCAGTTCCTTGGGTCCGAAGACATTGCTTAAGATTAAGAGGCAGTACTTTGATGAAGAACTCTGAATGATGACTGGTATTTGTACTGTGCATCACACTTGATGAGATGACTCTGAACATGAACTTCTCCTCGTTAGGGCTGTAAATGTTCTTCTCTGTTCAGAGAACCACCAAAAAAGAAAAGTTGTGCATCATCCGTGAATCGAACACGGGCCTCGTCGATGGCAACGACGAATTCTACCACTAGACCAATGATGCTCAGAAACCAAGTGGATCAGCAAGCTGATTCGTTGGTCATATCAGTTTGTGTGGGAATTAGAATCAAGCCACACAGGGTCTCGGAAATCCAGTCTACACCCACATTGAGAGCCCCCCTCCAACAGCTTGCTCTAGATGAAATTCTATTTACTCTCTGCATATTTACTGACATACTCAGAAAAGAATAGCTTTAGCCCCTATCCGTCCAAGGGTACTGCGAAAGTAGGTACTTCAGAGCCGATTGATGGATGTCGAGCGTTTTCACTGGCTACATTTCTTCGAGGTACCGATTCAAAGCATCAAACTGCCGGCATTTGATAGAAAAAAAAGGTATGGTATCTCATGAAACGATGCTAGCGTACATGTACGTATGTTGTAGGAGATTTGGGAGTTTTGTGACTTTGAGCGTTTGCCTGATTCTTGGCGCTTGAGAACTGCAGAGCAATAAACCCATGCAAGCAGACTCCTAACCGGCCCCTGTGATTTTTTTTTCTCCAAAAATACGGACCCCGATGGTCTGAGGAGTTGTTATTACTTCATGTGCTTGTCTCCACTGAATTTCCTTTTTTTGGCTCGTCTACTTTCCCCTGCTTTCAGTAACAGCAGAAGGTGGGTGTCGAAGATTTGGAACCACCGATGAAGGAGAGTCTGGATCAGGAAGAGTCGATAGAACCTCTAGCAAAAAAGCTGGGCGAGCTGGAGTGGTATCGCAAGGAGCTGCGGAAGGTTCCATAGTGCAACCATTGGCTCAAATGCGAGGCCCTAATCACGGAAGCCGTGATTGGTAGAATCTGGGATTTATTGGCAGCGGGAGCTAGTGAGGAGATCGAGGAACCCAGTCTGTTGGATAGATGGGTGCGACCTTGGTTTTGAAGGAAGAGCGAGATCAGGGAGCAAATGACAAACATGGATTGTTGTCGAGCTTTACACCACAATGGTCATTTAGTTGATGAGAATACTGCCAAAAGAGGTATCCTGAGTGGGATACATCAAAGTGCATGCCTTGAGAAGTTGAATCATTTCGAAAGCGAGATTTTGGTGCTGGACATTGGATTCTAACAAACGCCTTTTCCGATTCAACTTATAGTCCAACAGGTTTTGGATTGAGTGGAGCTTCTGTGAGATGTACATGTACTACTACAGGGCCACAGATGGCATGCAAGATGAGTAGACTTGAGTCAAGAGTCAAGTATTCTCGTCGGATACATGCTTACCCCCCTCAATAACCTTTGTTCTCCGAGACATCCACTCATGACGCAAGAGCCCCAGAGCTGTCGGCCGATGGTCAGGATCCCACTGTAGTGCGTTTTGCATCCACTGCAAGAAGCCTTCCACATCCTCACCGTCGACATTGCCAGCTGCTAGGCTCTCGAAGCTTCGATCTGGTATGGGAGCCTGACCCGTCCAATTCCCTTCTTCGTCCCAGAACGTGGAGCCTAATCGCATCTTGTCCCGAAACTCTGGCGCAGGAGGGCCAAGTAGAGAAACTAGCTCTGCGACGTGGACCCGGTCATCAAAGGCTCCGTCTGAGTTTCGTCCGTCAATGAGCCCTTGGGAACTGGTGTAATTCCACGCCTGCATAGAGTGTGTCAGCTTCTTTCTTTTGCCGCAAAGTAAGATCCTCACAGCAACAGCGGTAGCCCAAATGTCGGCCTTGTGATCCGATTTCGATTTCAAGACCTGTTCAGGAGGCCTGTCATGTTTTTCTTCGATACGGGACATATCATCGTCGAGGAAGTCCAAACGGAGGGGAACACCATCCCCGGGGAGTATCATTGGGGTGAGAAGCTCGCCATTGCTGGGCCCGGCAATTCTTCTATCGCCGGAATCAACATTGAGTGTTGCGTTTGGCATGATGCCTACCCTGGAATCAGTCATCCATCCCCCAAACAACGATGGCGAGGGTAGATACGGGCAGTCAGGTAGCAATCGGTGTGTAGAAAATCCATCAGGATCAGCGTTTGTTGCATTGTAGACCTCATCGACTCCAGATCCATCTTGTCTCCCGAATGCATCTGTTGTGGGTCGAGTGAGGGTGCCTCGTGAACAACACAGATATAAGGGCCACGAGAGCCCTGGAGGAGAAAACGATCGCTCACTTCGTGAAGAGGACACTCGCTTTGCTGGTATAAGGTTGGTGGGTGGACCTGCCCATAAGTCTTGAGCAGATGATCCACGACATAGATCGTCAAAACAACCATTCTGGGTTCCCTGTTGTAGGCAGAGAATTAGAGCGGTATCGTTCCGGCTCAAACGAGACACTCACAATAGATCAACGGCATACCAAACAGTTGCCGTGGGCCCATAGCCAATTTTGTGCATAATTCGGCACCTGTCGTTCAGGGTTTCTTCCTCCACGGCGGGATACGTGTATGTCTCGTTGGGCTCATATCCCACCGCAAGCTCTTCTTCCGTTTGAAGAGATGAGTCCAGCAGCCGGAGATCAAAGACTGGGAAGACTTTCGGACTGGAGGTCCATTGTGATGAGCATCGACGCGACCATGCTGTTTGTCGGTCCAAGGGGGAGATCCGACGGTACGCGGAAATTGGACGTTGGGATGGAATCCCAGATCTGTGAAAAATGCAAAAATTGGTGCGAATCCGCAGAGCACTCGCTCTCCAGTTCATGACAAAAGTCGCGGGGGTTGGCGAATGCGCACCTGGTGACGGAGGGTTGAGAGATGATGAGTCCCCCTCTGCATCATCCCCGAGGTCTGTTTACATCTCGAGTCTCTTTTTGTTCTTTTCTCGTTTCCTCGTCAGATGTGTGGTTGACTTTGATCTTTTTGGACGCAAAGGCCATCTTCGCTGTCACCGGAGAAATGTAATATAAAACAAAGCGTCAGTTCTTAGTGTACAGCCGCTAAAAATAAGCTTAAACAATATTGGCTATCAGGACCTCCCGAGGTTCCTGCCCGGGGACCCCACAACGTTCATGATCGCGCGGCGATGTTTCCCATGTCCTCTACACTAGACCTTTGATGAATCTATTTGGATTACTAGAGAGAATGAAAAGAGGGAGAGATCAACCAACCCTGTGTTTCGTGGGACTCGTCAAGTGGATCTGGAGCTCCAATGCTCATCCACGACTTCATCACAGAGCCTCCACGAGAAAGCCTGGGTTGATGTTGATATGAACCTCTATAGACGTCCATGACCTTGGTTCTGTTGATGCGTTCATTTAGAGGTGATGCACGGCCATCCTACACTGTGTTAGGGGGGCTACAAAGACATGGTTGAGAGGCCTGATAGGAAGGGAAGAGAAGATGAAACGAAGAAATGAAAAGAGAAGAGGAAAGGTGGCCTTTTCAATCGTCAACCCACCTTTCCAAGAATGAGCCCTTGACAACTTTCCTAATCGGTCGGACTCAATTGCACCTAAAGTACCCTGTTACTCTATTGACATGGTTAAACATTCTCTCCTCGATGTGCCAAATAGGAATCCAATTTGTACAGGGTCCATTAGATGCAAGAATTCATCTACTAGGAGAAGATCTGTCAAGTCCCCCCTCCCCAAAAAAAATGAAAGAAAAATTTGGTTTCTTGCTTCGGTCTTGAGCAGAGAAATACCCACGTACTTTGTGGTTAACACTGTGGAATCATGACCCGCATCTGTCCAAGTCCTCCGGACGCCGGACTCCGTCTATAATTTCCCATACGCAGATCTATACCCAGACCTAGATGCCGAGATACAAAACGGGCTTAACAAGTCGTCGTTTTTAATTCCCCCTGAAACACAGCCCGTGGACTCGTGTGGGACCCGCTGTGGGCTGGACTCAGGAGACTTCAGGCTATTATTTTCTCCCCTTCTCAACTCACCTGTGTCAGTGTTAGTGGTGCTCTTTTTGGGGTTTTTTTTGGGGTTTGTTTTTCTATGACTGTTTGAACAATTGTGATCTCTCCTACTGGCTGGTCCAAGATGGAGAGTCTTCCAGGGGCAGAGAGCCTCCATGGTCCAATTCCGGATAACCAGAATTCCACGGTGCCACAAGCGGACTCTGCTGCTGAGCAGTTTTCTCATTCCAATCTCTCGCTGTCATCTCCTCTAGCCCAGAAGAGAATTTCCTCATTACCTCATGGCAAGACGGCCCGACATGCCAAACGCCTCACCTTGAACTTTCCCATCAATCTGAACGAACCCGAGACACCCGATAACGTCACTTCACCCGGCGCCATCACCCCAGTCACACAGTCCTCAACTCGCCCTTCCACTGCTCAGCTGCCGGGAACCCCCATGGCATTTGATGTCCCCGATGATGGCTATGACTTTTTGCGGGCCATCGCCTCGCAGGAGCGGAAGGTCATGGAGCTTCGCGAGGAGCTCACTCGGGCCGAGGCAGATCTAGCGACAATCAAGAAGCAATGGGCACTGTCTGAAAAGTCTAGGAAACGGGCGGAGATCAACCACGCGGAGCCACTGGTGCCCCTCCGAACGCCGGATTTCTCAATGCCCGAGCTGCCGAGTTCGCACGGCCGGGGACAGAGCATAAGCTCAGTGGCAAGTTCCACAGTGTCACAGGAACGGATGAGCCGGGATCTAGGCAGACGGTCTAGCCTGCGTGCTGCCGCCGCCACACCAGGAACCAAGATTGGGAGCAATGGTCGGCGAGTGTTTCACGGCACACATACACGCACATTATCTCTCTTGTCGCCAGTCTCCGGCCCCGGTATTTCTTCGCGCGGAGAATCCGGTTTCCCAGATGCTGCCAGTGAACGCGTGGGTCGCACTCCGCGGTCTGCGACCTTACCATCGGTCGACCGCAACAATGCCGCTTTGATGGGTGCACAACTAGGCGAGAGCCAGGTACCGGAACATCTACTCGCACAATGGCAGAAGACGATTCCGCCACCATCGCGGGAGGCCTTGGTGCGCACAGGCAAGCAAATGGCATCCGATCTTCGCGAGGGTCTGTGGACATTTTTGGAAGATATCCGACAAGCTACGGTGGGCGAGGAAGGAATCAACGGCACAAAAACACGATCCTCACCATCCAACTCATTGGCACCATCAAATGGTCGAAAGCGGGATTCGTTGGCGGCATCCCGGAGTCGAGAACGGTTGCTAGCGGACGGCAGGCCATCACGATCATCGTCGTCGTCTTCGCGGGGGAGGGGGCCAGCGGCCGAGACAAAAACTGGTAAAGACACCAAGCCGGCGGAAATTTCCACATCTTTCTGGAATGAATTCGGCATTGATACACCCGCTCAGAAGTCTCCGAACGCTCCGCGCACCCCCTCCGACACCAAAGCCGCCAACCGAAGCGAGACGAACGAAGCCGAACACCGCGGCCACCGCTCTAGTAGTTCAATCGATGCGCAGGATGAAGATTTCGACAGCTGGGATAGCTGGGACACGCCCCTATCCGCGCACAAGACGCATACGCCCTCATCGAGTCGATCCACAGTTGCATCCAAACATGATCAGTCGCCCACCACACAGGATAGCAGCCCTCGAACCAGTGCTAGGTACCGTTCGACCTTTTCTGACTTCATCTATGACAACCTCGTTATGCGCTGACCACGCTCCTAGCTTTGGCGATTTGTACCCGGCTTCCTCTGCCCTTGATCCTAGTGTCACTGAGGGCATCCCCTGGCCTGCAATTACCAAGCTTGCTCCATCGAAGCTTCAACGGACTGCTTCCAATCTGATGGCAGAGTGGGAGCGCTCGCTGTCGCCTTCTTCGGAGCGAACTGCCTCTCCTTCATTCAGTCGCAAGGACAGCAAGAAGGATTAACTGGGTTCTGTCTTTCCTTTCTTGCACATACTTGCTACCTCTTCTTCGACCCTACGCACGAAATTCTGTAGGGCTACGACATTTGAAATATACCACACGAGAGCGTTGCTTCTTCTCCTGTTGATAAATGGCCTTTCCTTTGCTACCTTCGAAGATTGTGCAGGCTTCAATTTACTTCCAAGATTTGTTGAAATACCAGTTGATTTGATCACGATAAATGTTGCTTGTGGTTCCTTAGTTTCATGACTACAACGAGTTTTCATTCCGTCTTTGATTTGTTTTGGAAAATACAGTCGTACACAACAGCGCCTCTAAGACTGTTTGCTCAATGTTGTTCCTCCACCTATGGCGACATTGCGCCGATAACGGCACGATGATTTTGCGGAGCCTGATTATCACGTGCAAAGCTGCGCTTCAGGCTTTTCTAGTTTCCCGTAAAAATAAATTTGTGGTTCAGTTACTCGCCTCCGCAAGATCTCCGCGTTCGATGTTTTGCTCGATCACGCGATTTCTTATCTCGCTGAGGTCCAGTGAATCGATCGTTCCGGACAACTTGGATCTAACCCAGCCAGTAAAATCTACGACCATCTTCTTATCCCAACCTCTCCCGCTTCAACTTTGAATATGGCTTTTCCAGGCACAACAGGGACTGCGATCCCGATGACCTCCCTAGGAGGTAACCCAGGCACGCAGGGAATGAGTGAGCAAGAACAAGCTATGGTCAAGATGGTTCGTCCTCGTCTCAGATGTGCATTTGATCCAATATTAATGAACTTCGGAATAGATGCAACGTGGTATGGAGTCCTGTCCCATTAAGACGGTTATTTCGGGTACCATGGGTTTCGGTCTTGGTGGTGCTTTTGGTCTCTTCATGGCCAGTGTAAGTTGGGAATTGAAAGGTGACGCCTCCATTTTCAAATCTAATATACATCCGTTCTAGATGTCCTACGACTCGACCTTCACACCCCAGGGCCGCGCCATCGCCGACCTCCCCTGGCGCGAACAAGTCCGCCGCGGTTTCAAGGATATGGGCGCTCGCTCCTGGTCCTCTGCTAAGAACTTCGGTATCGTCGGTGCGCTCTACTCCGGCACCGAGTGCTGCATCGAAGGCCTCCGCGCAAAGAACGATCTTACCAACAGTGTTGCCGCCGGTTGTGTCACCGGTGGGATTCTCGGCGCAAAGGCTGGTCCTCAGGCTGCTGCCTTCGGTTGCGCGGGCTTCGCAGCGTTCAGTGCAGCTATTGATGCCTACATGAGAATGCCCGGTGATGAGTAAACGGTTCATTCCAATCCAACTTGGAAGCACGACCTTGTTCCGTCGTTTGGCCCTTTTGCTGCCAGGCGGCCTTGCTTGGTTGCGCTTTCTGACCTGTACATTTCTATGGCATCTGGCGTTCTGGAACAGAACGGAAGCATTGCGGGCGTTTCGGTTGTTCTTGTCTATTTTGCTGGGAGCATGGCTTTTCCGGCCTGTCTCCCCTGCGTCGCATGTCATGTTTGATGCCTCCATTGTATGGCCTCGACATGGTGGGTTGCTTCATCTTAGATTCTTTTGGGGTCTGGCTCTTTACTATTTTGTACAATACCAGGCGTGGACATAAATACACCACTGACCTTTCGAGACTCACCTCTCACGCTTGATACCAAATTATTCTATGCTCATTTGCCACACCCCCATAAAAGTCCTCGCTACAAATTTCAAAGACTCGACTGATGTCGAATCTGCGCCACCTTTTCCGGTAGATGGCAAACCACATCTGTCCCAACAGCAGAGTTAAACAGGGTCTGGACTCAATCACCATATTTACACACATTCCAATTTATTCCTTTCAAAGTTCAAAAGCTTGGACGAGAATACAGTTTGTTCGGTTTATACACAGTCCTAAGGCAATACAATATACTTCTCCAGGTGCTTGGGAATGGCACCACGGAGGTTTTTGCTCTCGAGCCAGGTGCTGGAGAACAAGCGATCCGCATACCGATAAGCACCGTCACAGAGAATGGTGACAACGGTGTTACCCTTGCCCAACTTCTCGGCAACCTCCTTGGCAGCCACCACGTTCATCGCGGAACTGGCACCGAGGTACAGACCCTCCTCATCCAAACAGCGGTAAACCATCTCGATGGTCTTCTCATCACTAATGCTCACAGAGCCATCTAGCAAGTCAATATCGGGCTGAAGGTTATTTGTCACACGGCCTTGGCCGATACCCTCAGTGATACTGCTACCAGAGCGGTCAATGAGTGTGCCACCACTTTGGATGTAGCTATGGAGAACACTGCCTGGAGGATCGGCGAGGAAGCTCTTGACGCGTCCGTCACTGACAGTCTTCAGATAGCGGGTGGTACCAGCTAGGGTGCCTCCAGTTCCGGTAGCACATGTAAAGGCGTCGATCTTGCCCTCAGTCTGTGCCCAGATCTCGGGCCCGGTAGTGTCGATGTGTGCTTGACGATTGGCAACGTTATCGAACTGGTTGGTCCAGACTGCGTTATCCAATGACTCGGCATGCCGGCGTGCCTGGTGGTTATAGTTCTGCGGGTTGTCGAAGGCCACTGCGGGGACTGGGTGTACTTCCGCACCCAACAGACGGAGCAGGTCAATCTTGCCCTGCGACTGGGTGTTGGGCATATAGATCACTAGCTTGTAGCCCTTTGACCGGCAGACATGCGCCAGTCCAATACCCGTGTTTCCAGCTGTTCCCTCCACGACAGTGCCACCGGGCTTCAGGAGCCCCTTCTCCTCTGCATCTTTTACCACGAAGAGCGCTGCGCGGTCCTTCACGCTACCTCCGGGGTTCTGAAATTCGGCTTTTCCAAGGACATTGCAGCCGGTCTGCTCAGAAAGCTTCTTTAATCGGATCAGTGGGGTGTTGCCAATTGCTGTAGTATCCAAGTCAGCCTCAAAGTGTATGCAAGGGTGCGCTCGGAGTTAGTCATACCCTCGGTCAATCCATTGACAACACCCTGGGCGCTTGACACCCGGGCGCAGTAGGCAGTAGACCCCTCCGCAGCAGCACGAGTCGCTGTAGTGGCGAATAGCCGGACACTTTGTCGAAACATCCTGCCAGGACTTGCAATGCAGGAACAAAGGTCCGTTCCATCGACCTTCGGGGAATGACGACCTCCCGCACCTCCGATGGTCGGCATTCGTCAGCTCACGTGCGTCTACTACCCTTATCGGCTATCGGCCACCCGATTTGGGCTGTTTGTTTACCGCCAAGACCTCCACTTCTTTGATCGGTCCCGCAGTCTGCGATGCTTTTCGCCTCTGAATAATCAACGCTTACCAACAACACAACAATGCCTGGCAGAGTCGCCGCCCGTTCGACATCTGCAACGACACGCAGGTCGTCAGCACAGCCCTCTGCGTCTGGGCGTGCTGGCTCCGTTACTCCATCGTTTGCGATCCCCGAAGAACCGACAGAGCCAACATCATCCCCCACTTTGCGTCGTGATGTGTGCTTGCTCTTTGCAGATGCTCAACGCTCGACTACCGGTCACCGAAAGCTTGTGGTGCGCCTGCGCAAGCTCCAAGAGTTTTGCTGTGGCATCTCTCAAAGAAAGAACACCAAGGGAAAAGACCAAGAGCCTGAGGAGGCATTGATTCCTGGCGAGGAAACCAAGGCCGAGAAGGAGTTTAACGTGGAAGTCGGCCGCTGCATGCTTCGGATTCTCATAATCAAGAAGAGTGAGCCTGTTGGAGATCGAATTTTGCGTTTCTTGGGGACTTTCCTCAGTCATGCCGCAGAGAAAGATAATGAGATTTTTGCTTCGGGTGAAGACGAGGACCACAATCCTGAGACACCAACTGCGCGCCTCACATCTAATCTTATTGCGCTTATGGGACCCGTGATGGGTGCCAAGGACAAGATGGTGCGCTTCCGCGCAACCCAAATTACCGCCCACATTGTGAACTCGCTAGAATCAATTGACGACGAGCTATACCATACAATAAGACAGGGCCTTCTAAGGCGCCTCCGCGATAAGGAGGCATCAGTGCGGGTACAGGCGGTCCTGGGATTAGGACGTCTGGCGGGAGATGACGGAGAAGACGATAGCAACGACGACAACTCTGCTCTTCTTGAGAAGCTGATCGAAATTATGCAAAACGATACAAGTGCCGAAGTTCGCAAAGCCCTTCTCACAAATCTCCCTCTGGCTCCAGTGACGCTTCCCTATCTCCTGGAGCGCGCTCGGGATCTGGATGCCCCTACAAGACGTGCATTGTACTCACGTCTCCTCCCTACCTTGGGCGACTTCCGTCATTTGTCTCTATCAATGAGAGAAAAGCTTCTCCGATGGGGTCTACGTGATCGCGATGAAGGTGTTCGCAAGGCTACAGCGAAGTTATTCTATGATAGATGGGTTGAGGATTGCGCTGGCACGAACAATGACCCGAATCAGGCACCGACAGGCCAGTGCTCTGCACCCGACATCAACGCACTACTCGAACTTTTGGAGAGAATTGACGTAGTCAACTCTGGAATGGAAAGCGGAATTGCACACGAGGCAATGCGTGGATTTTGGGAGGGTCGTGCGGACTATCGTGAAGCTGTTGTCTTTGATGAGCCTTTTTGGGAGAATCTTACTGGTGAATCTGCGTTCTTGCTCCGGTCCTTCAACGACTTCTGCCGTGTGGAGAATGAAGGCAAGTATGAAAGCCTAGCAGACGACAAGATGCCTGAGGTTACCGCGATGGCCTACTTCCTAGGCAAATACATCACTAATTTCTTGGAGCGGAAAAAAATTTCCAAAGAGTCTGGTGAAGCGAACGATGATGACGCTGTTGAGCACGAATTTGTTGTGGAGCAGTTGCTCCATATCGCCATCACTCTAGATTACAGCGACGAGGTCGGTCGACGAAAGATGTTCTCGCTTCTGCGAGAAACTTTGGCCGTGCCAGAACTCCCGGAGGAGAGCACGAAACTCGTCGTTGAAACACTCCGATGTGTCTGCGGGCCTGACACTGCGGCTGAAGCCGAATTTTGCAGTGTGGTCCTTGAAGCTATTGCCGAAGTTCACGATACCATCACCACCGAGGATAGCTTTGTTTCTGCCAGGTCAGAGATCAGTGACGACACTAGCAGACGATCCGAAACCCCGGGGGATGAGAAGGTCGTCCCCTTCAATAAGGAGGAGGCCAAGGCCAAGATCGTCCGCGAGATTGTTATTAATATGAAGTGTCTGTACATTGCTCAGTGTATGTTGCAGAATGTCCAGGGCCACCTGCAGCAGAACATGAATCTTGTTACTATGCTCAATAACCTTGTGGTGCCCGCTGTTCGCAGCCACGAAGCCCCAATCAGAGAGCGTGGTCTATTGTGCTTGGGCCTTTGCTGTCTTCTTGACAAGGTCAGTATCTTCTCTTTTGAACCAAGCTGCGGTTCGCTGTTCGCTAATGGTTGATTTCACAGAATTTGGCCGAAGAAAACATGACCCTCTTCATTCACTGCTATAGCAAGGGTCACGAGGCATTGCAGGTCACGGCTTTACAAATCCTCTGTGACATGATCACGACTCACCCGTCTCTACTTGCTCCTGTCACTCAGGCTGATGGCGAAACTGTCACTCCCCCTCCCATGCAGAAGCCTCTGCTCAAGGTGTTCGCCCGAGCTCTGCGTGCCAACTCCCCCAACAGCGTGCAGTCCGGAGCAGCCGCCGCTCTCTGCAAGCTGCTACTCACCAACACCTTCACTCCCTCTGGGCCGAACATCCCACCCGCAATCCAGGAACACAATCAAAATGCCGTTGAATCTCTCTTGTTGTCCCTCGTGGTCTCCTTCTACCACCCACGCACTCGTGAAAACCCAGCACTACGACAGTCGTTGGCTTATTTCTTCCCTGTTTACTGCCATTCCCGCGTGGAAAACACGCAGCACATGCGCCGAGTAGCTGTACCAGTGATCCGGGCTGTAATGAATGCTGCGGAGGAGCACTACTCACTCGAGGCCGAGGAAGACAGTGATGGGGAAATCGACCCAAGCGTCGGCGAGCGCGAGGTCAAGGCTCTCATGACTGGTGTTGTTGGTATGCTTTCTGAGTGGACTGATGAGCGCCGAGTCGTTGGCCTCGGCGGTGAACGAATTCTGGCCGGCGGCACTGCAAGCTCCAATGTTTGTGGATGGGTTCACCTCGCCCTGGTCAAGGAGATTCTCGAGCGTGTACTCGGTATCAGCGCTGCCGCCAATCGCTGCTCGCGCGAGGAACGCAAGCTTCTCTTCTCCCTCCTTAGCAAGCTTTACTTTGCCGCTCCCACAGTGCCTGCACGAGCTAGTTCTCGTGTCCCCGAAGGCGATGATCCATTCCGAACTAGCATTCGCAGTGCTACGGGTGTCGAAATCGATCCCGAAAACACCGCCCTGGCGACCGAGGTCAAGGAACTATTGGACCAAACCATTGAAGAGGGTCTCGCCGCCGAAGCCTCTAGCCGAAATGCTCTCGTCAAGGCCAAGAACGCTATCCTCAAGATCATTGCCGTTGCCCAGGATGGTCGCGCTGCTAGTGTTCGTCCCCGCGAAGGTACTGAAGAGCCTGACCTTGACGGCGCTAGTGTACGCTCTGGTAGTGTTCGTCGCTCTGTGGACCCTACTGGTGGATACAGCCGTCGTCATTTCTCTGTTGAGCCCAGTATCATGGAGGAAGACGAGGGTGAGGATGATAGCCGTCTTCCTTCTGTCAGGGCTAATCGTCCCATGGTGTCGATTGAACCTAGTATTATGGAAGAAGATGAAGAAGATGACCTTGATACTAGTCGGGGGACAATAATCAAGGAAGAGACGGGTGATGAGTGATGATTGTTCCAAGGTTTGGTTGGCGTTGGTTGAAGTTCGGGCTTTGGGGTTTAGGCTTCTGTACATTTTTGTTTTCTTTCAGTGTCTGATATTTCGAATACCTTTTGCATGAATGCCACTATACGAGTCCCTCATACCTGCATGTTATGGATACATTCCCACGTGATGTTCCACGTGATGATATATTTTAACAGCGGCAGAGACTTGACGTTAGGAATGTCCACATTGTCCATCTTGTCTGTCTTGTCTGCATTGTCTGTATTGTCCGTTTTGTCTATCATGTCCATATTGTCCATCTAATCTTGATTTGTCTCGGTTCTGGGTATGTTTCACATGTACATCTACATGTGTCAAACCAAGCAATTGCTTTTGCCTTTGGTGTACAATTATTTTGATGCACAGCCTACATTGGTATATGATAGTTCTGAAAGTTTCCAATCAAAAGTGTTCGCTAGTAGAAAGACAGAGATGTTTATATGTATCTACTAGATCTACGATATCCACTCTATCAGTTCTCTTCCTCGTTCTCCCCAATCCGAAATGCCGTACTAGACAGGGATCTGGGCCCGGTTGGGGTTGCACGGTCAAGACTAGTCCGAACACACAATTTCCAGTGGAATTTGAAGGATAGAAGATTCGATGAAAGAGAGAGAGAGAGAGAGAGAGAAATAAGAGGATTCATTTCTTACTGTCGTTTAAGAATAACATCTAATTCATTTTTGTAAGTGTATAATCTCCGTTTCCCCCTCCCCCCCGTGAACCCCGAAACTTTTCATTTTCTCTCAAAACTCCACCGAGTTGGCTCTTTTCTTCTTCCCCCCCCCTTTCCCTTCTCTTATTCCCCGGGCTTTCTCTTCTATTCTCACCACTCTCTTCTCCGGCCTTGTCTTTGTCTTCTGCCTTTCTCGCAGAGACATCTTCCCCCCCCCCATCTTCCCCCGGGATTCCCTTGCCGCTCCGTTGGCACCGGACAAGTCAGCGATGGCGGCCGTTTCAGCACCAACCCCCAAGCTGGATCGATACATCGTCATCCACGTTGCAACCACCTGTGACGAGCATGGCGTATATGTCACTAAGGACTCGGCTGAGGTCATTGAACTAGGATGGATCTTGTTGGACACAAAGACCTGCGAGGAAGTCCGTTCCCCCAAACATCCTTCTACCCAACATTCAATTTCCGAAAGCTGACACCTTTTTTTTCCTCAATTGTTTAGCTGCACCGTGAAAGTGTTCTCGTCAAGCCCGTCAATACGCCGATCACCCCGCTTTGCAGTAAGATCGTCTTGAAAACAACTTTTGGATCATATTAGGTTTTGCTGGGAATCAATTTGTGGCTGACTATAATCTGAAGCGAGCTTGACCACATTGACATGGGAACACGTTCGCTCCGCAGGTACTTTCCGGGACGCCATCTCTCGATTCGACGCCTTCGCTCAGGAACACCTCACTAGCAAACACCTTGAGTTTGCTTTTGTGACGTTAGACTCGTGGGATCTGCGCGTGCAGCTGCCCCGCGAGGCCCGCGACAAGGCAGTCGTGCTGCCCGCATACCTGCAGCATTCCCGCACTTTCGACCTGCGAACTGAATATCAACGCTGGCAGACCCATCACCCTGAGTCGCTGCCTTTCGGTCCCAGCTCCCTCTCCAACATCTGCGCTGCCCTTGAGGTTGAGCCCGTTCAGTCGTCCGCCCCGATCAAGCACAATCTTCCTTTCCACTTGCAAGCCTTGGCCCCCGCTTCGCCCCGCCGTGCCATGGAGGAATCTGTTACTCTCGCCCGTGTCCTTCGTGGTTTGATTCGCAAGTCGCAGCCACCCCAGGATCACCCTGAGATCCTCACTCGTCCTATGGATGCTCATGCCGATGTTCGGGCCTTTTTGGCGGAACGCAGCAAGGTCCTGCACCTTAGTGGCCTGCCACACGATACCACTCAGTCTGAACTGGAGAGCTGGTTCACCCAGTTCGGTGGTCGTCCCATCGCCTTTTGGACCCTGCGGACGCCAGACCAGCACAAGCCTACTGGCACTGGTTTTGCCGTCTTCTCTTCGCACGAGGAGGTGAGTTGTCTCTTTTGATTGTTCCATGATACAGAAACTTGCCATGTTTTTCCCCTTGTTTCGCCTGCTAACTGACTACTAGGCTGCTGAGAGCCTGTGCATGAACGGCCGTGCGCTCAACGAGAAAGCGATTGAGGTCTCTCCCTCTTCTAGCCGGGTTCTGGATCGGGCTGCCGAGATCCTCACTCCTTTCCCACCGTCCAAGAACCGCCCCCGCCCTGGTGACTGGACTTGCCCGTCTTGCGGCTTCTCTAACTTCCAGCGCCGCACAGCATGTTTCCGCTGCTCGTTCCCCGCCATGGCGGCCGCACCTGACCCAATGAATTACGGAAACTACGGCTACGGACCGCCATCAATGATGCCTCCTCACATGGGTCACGGTGGCGGCCACGGTATGGGTGGTGGTCACTCACGTGGTATGGGGGGCAACGGCGGTGTTGTTCCCTTCCGCGCTGGTGACTGGAAGTGCGGTTCCGAGGGTTGTGGCTATCACAACTTCGCGAAGAACATCAACTGCCTACGCTGCGGTGCCCCTCGCTCGGGCGCTGCCGTCGTGGCAGATTCGGCATTCCCGTCACCGATGGATCCACCGTCGCAATTCAATATGGGACCTAATTCTATGGCTAGCACTCCTGCCCCTGCTCCGTTCGCCTCCACCGCTGGCGGCTTCGGTGGTTTCAGCCAGCAATTCGGTGGCCCGCCCAACAACTACGCTCTGCCCTCCGGTGGTCTGGGTAGCAACACCCCCGGTGCGTACCCTCCCATGGGTCAGATGAACTCGGGCTACGGCTCTTCCACCACCTCGCACTCAGCCGCCTCTTTCGCCAACCCGGCCACTCAGGCCGCTTTCACTGGTGCTGACCACGGCGTGCCCTCCACCAGCGCCGCGAACGGCGCCTTCTACGGCACCGATGGTACCAGTGACCCCTTTGCCTTCCTGTCGAGCGGTCTCGGTGGGCTGACGGTGTCTGATGACCCCCACTCTCGTCGCAATGGCTCCGGTGCCAACAAGTCGCCCGCTTAAATTATTGGTCTAGTTGTACCTACTTCACGCCCCACTCACGAACTGGGCGCTCACACTTATGTTGTCCATATTGCAACCCTGCATTGTGGCGGGTTTCTGCGTTGGTTGATATTCGTTGATACGCATTTGTATAAGGGATTCTGCAGTTTTGGTGCATCGGGTTGGAAGGAGCAGGCGGGTTAGCGTTGTCGAAGATTTCGGATTTCTTTTTCTCGCCTTCGCCGCCCTGTGCTTTTTTGCGTGATGCTTTTTATCGTTGGGTTTTTGGTTTGTTTTTTTTTGGTTTGTTGTTTTTTTTTTTCCTTTTTTGTTCTTGTTCTTACTTCTGGTTGTGGGGGCAGTTTTTCCTCCATCTTTGTGATTTCCATCTTGCGCTATATGGTTTGTTATCTTTCTCGAGGGGAATGAGCCCCCCTTGTAGGGGTGTGTGGTGCATGTATTTTTGAAAGTTCCGGCCATCTCTGGTTTATTGTCGGCAGGCATGGACACATGTGCGTTGGGTTTGCCCTGCTTTTGGCATTGCATTTTAGATATTTTGTGGGCTCCCTTTCTGCACTCTTTGGTCATGGGAAGCATCGGAGAATTCACGGTCTTGATCTGGGTGGGGATATACTGGGACTCCGTTTGGGGTGTTGGGGATTTACTTTGAAGCTTGGGCATCGGAATCGAAGGGATCTCTTTGGGGTCGAAGCACTGTGAATGCAAAAAAAAAACCATTGTCTCTATACATTTTTATATGCGTTATCGTTCTGTAAGTGGTGTGACTATGTAAATTCTGGTGGATTCGGTGTTGTATTCTTGGATGTTTAAATGGTCAAATGTTATAGGTGTGCTTGTTGAGTAGTTCTAATGAACTCTAGACTAATTTGTCTTTTTCCTGAGATCATTGTTCATAACATGGATTTGCTTCTATTGAAGTTCCACCGGAAAATTAGGTCACGTAAAAGGTACATGCAACTAGTATGGTGCATCCATACTTAACAGAAGTACCTCGAAGGTTGGCGCTTGAGGCAGCCGTAGGCTTTCGCGTCCACCGCCCGGAACCCGTCATTGCTCCAACTCAATAACCCAGTTGACCTCAGCTACTTGACACTCGTCTGCATTGCCCTTGTTCTACCTCGTTCCTTCTTTAAACTTGTTATCTCCACCAATTTCTAATTACCACTCATCTGCTCGTCCTTGATTCACAATGTCCGGATACGACCGAGCTCTTTCAGGTAAGCTAGGTCCCCACGTCCCAGCTCCCTTTGCTCCTGACCATGAAGAAAGCTGTGTCGTGCTAACTTATCGCAGTCTTCAGGTATGCGGACTATAAGCTAGACTCTAGCTCCAGAGTTTGTTTTCTAACCCTCTCCCAAGTCCCGATGGACACGTCTTCCAGGTTGAATATGCCATGGAGGCTGTGAAGCGAGGTAAGATCTCCGTTATTTGCTTCCTTAGAAGCTTTGTCTGCTTCATTTTTTGCTGTAACTCTTGTTTTTCTCATACAAAGACACAAGTCGTTGATGGTGGGTGATTATAGGAACTTGCGCTGTTGGTGTCAAAGGCAAGGATATCGTCGTCCTCGGTTGCGAAAAGCGTTCCGCCCTCAAGCTTCAAGATACCCGCATTACCCCCTCCAAGATCGCCCTGGTGGATGACCACATCTGTCTCGCCTTTGCTGGACTGAATGCCGATGCCCGCATCCTTATCGACAAGGCCCGCTTAGAGGCTCAGTCCCACCGCCTGACCGTCGAGGACCCCTCCAGCATCGAGTATATTACGAAATATATTGCTGGCGTTCAGCAGAGATACACACAGAGTGGTGGTGTACGTCCATTTGGTATCAGTACGCTTGTGGTTGGATTTGACCAGAACGACTCCACTCCGCGACTGTACCAGACCGAGCCGTCTGGAATCTACTCAGCCTGGTAGGTATTTTCCGAGATAAGTCGTTCACATTGGTTACACACTAATCTATCTTCTCTCGATGCAGGAAAGCCAACGCCATCGGTCGTTCCAGCAAGACCGTCCGCGAATTCCTTGAGCGCAACCACCAGGAGGACATGGACCGTGAGCAGACAATTCAGCTGACCATCAAGTCTCTGCTTGAGGTTGTGCAGACGGGTGCCAAGAACATCGAGGTCGCCATTATGGCGCCCGGGAAGACTCTTGAGATGCTCCCAGATGACCAGATTGAGTCGTACGTGAAGAACATCGAGACTGAGAAACAGGAGGAAGCGGCCAAGAAGAAGACCCGGACAGGGACCACAACGGCGGCTATCCTTACCAGGCCGGGTGGCGGCGAGTCGACCGATTAAATGCTAGAGTTGGAAGAGTGTAGAGCCTGAGAGGTGACTGGATCGCTGATGTGTTTCAATTTACAGTAGCGTTGGGCCTCTTCCTTGACGAGAATCCAAAATCATGAAGTTTAAAACACATGTCCCGGTTTCTTTTGTATTGTATATTGTACACCAACGCAGCCAAGGGTATTGATGCAAAGGGAATTTCCATCTGCCGTGAACCATTGCAAGAGACAGTAACCATCAAATCGTCAACATCATGAAATTGCGCCTGCCGACTGTGCACAGCTTAGCCCATGCGGTCCGACACATCTCTGATATTGAAGAGGGAGCGCTCCTTGTCACGCGCAACACGCTCATCCTTAAGCATACTTGATATGGTCAGCGTCCTGCCAATTAGAAGATATTTTGTGCTCAACATACCGGCTATCCATACGAGCATCCTCACCCTCCACGTGTAGTCGCGCCTCGGGCTCGCGTGCCTCAATGACAAAGTGATTATCACAGTGAGGGCAGTATTCGTCACTGAAACCAAAATTAGCCCGCTGCCACTTGTGTTTTGAATACCGGGCCTTGCATACGTCTCATCGAACTCGGCAGCGTCCTTGCGGAAACACTTCTTGCACTTCTTGCATGCAAAGATCTATCCCATGGTATGTCAGACTGCTGGAATTGCGCTAGCCGGAGAATAGGGGCATACCATCTCCGTGCTCCTCTCGAGATTGTGCGACTCGCTCTCATGGTGGCATTCGGCGCAGTCAAACCATTTTCGGCCTAGATCTCTAAGGTCAATCCCCTGTGATCAAATGTGATGTCGATTCGAGCGTACAGCAGTGCGAGCGGATGGCCACTTGGGCGTTCAGAATGTGTTTACTGCAAAGCGGGGAGATTGTATTAGCTATCCAACTTTTGGACTAGGGGGATTGAGGGGATGTCGAGCAGGCTCGTTCTCCAGAAGATCGCAAGAAGCAGACTTACCACATGGCTATGGAGTGCGAAGGAAGAGTAACGGCCAAGTGCGAGATGCCGATGCTCAAGTCCGAAGATATGCAGACACAAAGTGATCGCCAACTCCCGTGATTCCCTCCACTTTCCTCCCCGCCACTCCATTTCATCAACTTTCGCCTTTCACCCCTTTTTACCCCCTGGATATCCATCGGAATTCCTCGAACTCCTTACGACAAAGCTCCGTCTTCTCTCACTGTGCCTTTGCGCCGCTTACATCGTCCCTTCTCTCCACACTCCGAGCCCCACGATATCCCTGTCACCTCAGTTCCGTACCCACGAACACCTACTCTACTGCCTCCGCGCAATTATTCGACCCCTAGGAGATCACCCCAAGTCTATGATCCACTACTTCAGCTGGTTACGGCGACGGATCCGTGATTATGGCCATGGCGGGCAAAGGACAACAGCCGGACAATAATGATGATGCTCCTCCCACTGTATGCACACGTACCTGTTTTGTTGTATAATAAACTAACCCGCACGCAGCCACAGAGACCGGTTTCCTCCTTGTTGTCTCACTTTGAGAATCTTTCTCACCGCAGATCTCCCTCTGCAGCTGTAGCTGCCAGCCCGCGCACTTCCACAACCCATTTGCAGGCAACTCCGGAGCCTAGCGATGACCTCCGATCCTCCAGCCGTGCTTCGCTTGATTTGCCCCGGCCTCATTCCTCATGGACCCCGGCTGAAGACAGACCAACTCCTCTTCAACAGCCCAATGGTGAGAACTCTCGGGACCGTGGGTTCTCCGGCAGACGATACGGCCGGCCCATCTCTATGAACTTCCACCGTTCATCGCCACAGCTGCCGCCAACTTTGACAGTACAGTCGCCCCAATCGCCGCCGCACGAACAACATCGCGATGAAATTTGGATTTCACAAGGTGACAGCCGCAAGGCACGGAGTCCAGGCCATCGCCCGCGAGAATCGACGTTCGTCTCGCCGGCACCACCTCGTCCGCTCTCCCCGATACCGAAGTTCGGACCGTCAGCTAATGCAGGGGATACAAGGCCTCGAGCGTCACCCGGGGCTCTCCGTGTCAATCTTACTGGAAACTCGGCAGACCGGAAACTAAAAAGCGCCTCGTTACCTCCCCCAGCCAACCGCGCATCAAAGCCCAAAATTCCGGCGAAACCGACTGCATTTTCTCACCCAGACATTGGCTCCTTGACTCCTAGGTCGCGACGAGCATCACCCGATCGAAGTGTTTCACCTTTTAGCACCCCTCCCGGTAGCCCAGAGAAGCATCGCACGGTCAAGCCCCAATATACCGGGAAGATCAGTGCTAGGCCAGCGCCAGCTCGGCCAATGACGGAGCCACCGACCCGGCGTTCGTTTGAAGAGCGATCACCTGTTCCGTCTGCGACCGCCAGGCATGACGCCAGAGAGATAGGATTTTCAAGGATCCGCCCTGGCCCAGAGCCCTCACGGTCCTCCAAGCCCTTGATGGTGCAGATTCCGTCTGCTCCCGTAGACACTCCTACATCTGCTGCCACTGCTCCTCCTCTTTCGGCGCAGAGATTCCGAGCCAGTGATATTCCATACGACCGCCCGGGGCTTCCTCCTCGACCTTCGGGGGCTCCCCGCCGAACTGGAGCCTCTCCAGCACGAGAGTCTTCCAGGAATGTAAACAGCTCTGCGCAGCTGACACCGATTGCCAGATCTGCACCTTCTTTCCCGCGTCCTAGCGAATCCGCAGCCCCTAAACCAATCCAGCGACAACCGTCTCTACCCCGCGAATCTCAACTTTCTTCTTCTCTTCCCGAGCGGTGCGTGGTGCGTACAGACACGGAGGAAGAAGAGCCTGCCGAAGAGCCTGCTATCTCAAGGACCGACTATCCCGATGCCTCAAAAGCAAACCGGCGACCCCCACGCTTTAAATCTGGACCGAAAGATATTCTGACGAAGTATGATACCCGTTTGCTGGCTGTGTGCGGCAAGTATGTGTGTACAACTGGGTATCTGACTCGGGTGTGGGATCTTACAACTGGCGACCAAGTGATGAGTCTCAGCCATGGTGAGACCGTGAAAAGCTTAGCTCTTGCTTTCAAGCCAGGGAAAGGTCTTGAAGATGAGGGCGAGCGTATCTGGCTCGGTACCAGCGCTGGAGATCTCCACGAAGTAGATATCCCCAGTCAATCCATCGTGGCCACCCGCGCATACCCCTCTCGCCGGGAAGTCATTCAAATCTTGCGACATAAGAACGAAATGTGGACGTTTGATGACGAAGGCCGGCTGCTTGTTTGGTTGCCAGACGAGACTGGCGCACCCAACTTGCAGTACAGCTACCATAGCCCTTCCGAACGCGTAGCCCGAGGCCACACATTCTCTATGGTAGTCGATGACAAGCTATGGCTGGCAGCAGGCAAAGACGTTCATGTGTATCGCCCTAATGCGCGGGATGATGTCCCTTTCAAGGTCTTCAAGCGACCTCTCGGTCTTCAGCACTCAGGCGATGTGACTTCCGGATCCTATACCACGCGAGATGGAGGTCGGGTATATTTGGGACACGCAGACGGCAAGGTTACTGTGTATTCCTCCACCGATTTTAGTTGCTTGGCGGTGGTCAACGTCAGCGTGTACAAAATCAACTGCCTTGGGTTTGTCGGAGACTATCTTTGGGCAGCGTATAAAACTGGCATGATCTACGTCTACGACGTCTCTACTAACCCTTGGACCGTGAAGAAAGACTGGCGAGCCCACGACAGTCCCGTCTCCAGCTTCGTGTTAGACATGAGCAGCGTATGGACCATGAACCGCCTGCAGGTCACTTCTCTCGGCACTGATAATTGCATTCGCCTCTGGGACGGCATGCTTGAGGACGATTGGTTGGGTATGTGAAAAACTTTATTTTCATCTGTTTATGGCTTCCACTAATATACAATAGATGCACGGATGCAGGCTAGAGACGTGGAGTTCTGCAACTTCCGAGAAATTAAGGCTGTCGTCTTGACTTGGAATGCAGGAGCTTCTACCCCCGGCAGTGTGCGAACGTCGGATTTCATCCGAAATGCAGTCACCCCTGAAGACCCGCCTGAGATCGTGGTATTTGGGTTTCAAGAGTTGGTTGATCTTGAGAATAAGAAGATCACAGCTAGTAAGTCATATGTGCCTTTTTTTTTTTTCTAAGTGAGTGTTCCCTGACATCGCTACAGAGAGCTTGCTGCTTGGGAGTAAAAAGAAGGATAGTGGCGAGAAGGAACACATGAGTCGTCAGTATCGAGTGTGGATTGATCATCTTACTCGCACTCTTCATGAATGCATGCCTCTCGAGGAATCCTACGTTCTTTTACACACTGCGAACATGGTGGGACTGTTTACTTGCGTTTTCGTCAAACACAAGGAACGCTACAATATCAAAAACGTCAGTGCTTCGGAGATTAAGCGAGGGATGGGCGGTTTGCATGGAAACAAGGTTTGTGATGTTCCAAGTCTCCGCTATGCCCTTCATCTAATTGCAGTAGGGCGCCCTTGTCTTGCGCTTCGTCCTGGACGACAGCTCGATGTGCTTTGTGAACTGCCATTTGGCGGCCGGCCAAACTCAAACCGCAAATCGAAACAATGATATTGCTGCGATCTTAGAAGCCGAGTCACTGCCTGCGGAAAACAGCATGACCCTACGGACAGATCAGTTTGCCAGTGGTGGTGATGGCTCGATGATCATGGACCATGAAGTGTGCATTCTGAACGGAGATCTGAACTACCGAATCGACGCCATTCCTCGCAATGTGATCATCGACGCAGTTCGCCAGAACAACCTACCAAAACTCCTGGACCGAGATCAGCTACTTGCGTCTCGACGGAAGAACCCCGGTTTCCGCCTGCGCGCCTTCATCGAGTCTCCCATCACGTTCGCCCCGACCTACAAGTACGACGTCGGCACGGATGAGTATGACTCCAGTGACAAGAAACGCTCTCCCGCCTGGTGTGACCGCATCCTTTACCGTGGTCTGGGCCGCGTCAAGCAACTCGATTATCGACGACACGAGGTCCGCGCCTCCGACCACCGGCCAGTCAGTGCGGCGTTTAAAATTCGCCCAAAGACAGTCCTTAGTCAAGAACGGAACGCTACGTGGGATGCGTGCAACAAGGAGTTCCAGGATGAGAAGCGCCGCTTGGCTTCTGAAGCTAGCATCGAGTATCTCATCACTGTCCTCGGAACAGATCCCCGCCAGGCCCGTACCTTGATCATGGGAAAGCCATAACCGCTTACCTGATTGTCTTTTTCTTTCTTCTATCCAAGTGAAGCGCACTTATTTTTAATATGAATTTGGGAGCATGGCGGTGTATATTGTACGACTGATGATTTAACGATAGATATGTATCATGATGTTTGTTAGAGCTAGAAAAAGGTTCCACGGTTCCTTTTATATCTGACAGTGTAGTATTCTTTGAAGATGTTCCCTTATTTGCCTGCGCATTTATACCTCGTGGACATCACTTCTCTCATTTAGGTCTCACTTACTGGTTCCCTCGGTTATCCTCCTTCTTTGCCTACGTTCTAATCCTCTTTGCACTACGATTTTACCTAATGAGCTCTATTTCTCTCACTTGAGGTACGCTGCTTTTACTTGTGTTATCAGTTCTCTATGGTTTCGTCTCTTACTACATCCTAGAATCTGCCCTCTATTCACAAGAGCTCCATTTTGAAAGGTAAAATTTCCGTGAAGGCATTTCCAGGTACATCGAGATCTACCTCCCACAGCCGTACATGCAATTATATGGCCAGTTCCACAAGGTCCAACAAGTCAAAGAATCATAGAGCGCCGGCAGAGATAGTCGGCATAAAAAACTTTAAGTTCCTTGACTACCGTACGCATAGCGTTTTTACCAGGATCAACCTCGGTCCTGTTAATGGGCGTGAGAGCAGGCTGTAAAGGGTCAACCGTTGCTGAGAGCTCTTTTTTATTCCTTTGGTTAGGTCCAAGGTGCCAGGGCGAGGTGGATTCGTGTTGAGACAATGGAGGCCATTCTGAACGCTCCCCTGGTCTATGACCACAATCTGCCATCATGGATGCAAGCTCCCGTAGAGGAGGCGAGAAGCCAATTGTCCTATGGCACAGCCCACCAAAAGTATCATCCAATTGATGTCACTGTAATATGGGGTTAAAATAGGAATTTCCCTTACAAGGCGGAACTGGATGCCACACTAGAGGCAGCCGAAGAGAAAGGATTGAAGACCTCCACTTCCAAGTACAAGATGCCTGTTGGAGGTCGTTATATGACTTCCCTGTTTACTCCCAGCCCTTTCAGTCTAGTTAGTGCCTGTAGATTGTTTTTTTTTCTCTTCCTCCACGCATCCACAAACGTTCCAGAATCTTCACATAGCGACACTGTACTGCCACAGTGGATCCGTTGAAGAAGATATACTCTTCAATGTCCTGACGATTCGGACGTCGTTCAAACTCTCGACAAAGCTCCCACAGTGAAACTGACATGGTCTCAAAAGGACCAAAGGTCACACCCAAGACCGTAGAGTCTCTAGCGCAGCAGCAGCTGTGGTACAGTGGCTTTGATGTGACGACCGACCCAGGACGCCGGCAGTGTCAGAAGCAGTTAATACCTGAGCTCCTTGTGGGGGTTGACAGGGGTAAATCCGTGCCTATGGAAATCCCCAGATTGCTAAACGCCGCCAAATCTGAACTAGAAAAACTCCACGTGGCACAGAAAAAAGTTCAGTGAGAGGGTGAGGACCAGATCACGCATATAGAAGCTTCCAAGGTTATTTCCCTTCTCCCACTTCAGGCGTAACGAGTGTGTTCATAGTTATTCAGACAAGGACTCAAAACAACCCGGGACATTGGCCTAAAAGACATAGCAACATAATGGTCCTGTTTAGAAAATTGGTAACAAGAGCAGGGATAGTCTCGAGTCCAAGGGTTGTGTGTAGGAAACTTGAGGAACAAAGAAGGTGGGCGTTTCTCCAGCCAAGTATTTATAGACTCTTTATTGGCTTTGATAACTCCGTTGGCCTTGTTCAGATTCTAAAAGGGACCAATCCCTTTGTCAAAAAGAAAGAGAACTCCCTCGACGATATAAAAATTCGCGATGTCCCAGTGCAACTCTCATTCATCACACTTCACCATCTACAATCACACCATCAGTTTTTATTACCATCAAACCCATTCAGACCAACTGACACAGTTTCTCCAGAGACTAACTATAGCAATCATGCCTGCCCACCACCACTGTAACGCTCATGCCGGTCTGCCCCGTGTCTGGCTGGGTTGGGGTGAGTTGGGCAACCGCAAGGCTCAACTCCAAGCCGAGCAGGACGAGTAAGTGTCAAAAGAACGTTTCCACCAATTGCAAGGAGACAAACTAAAAAATTTCCCTTAGCTACTTCGAAACACATACCCCTGATTTCAAACTGCGACACCCAGACACCGGTCGGCGCAGTTGGCATGTGCACTTGGATGTCATTCGGAAGTCGACCCGTTGGATCGACTGGCGAATTCATAAAACTGGAGATAAGCAGAAGCTTGTTCTTCCTGATTTGGTACGTGCGGAGCAGGTCGATAGTCTTCTTAATTTCTTTTATACTGGTGACTATTCGGTGGACGAAGCCGATCTGAGATATTACTCAATTCGGCCCTGTCCCGGTGGCTGTGTCACTTGTCCTCAGATCTGTCAGCTCTTGCGCATTCACTTGTCCATGTTCCAAATTGCTCTTCTTCTTAGAATTACTGATCTTCAGGCTATCACGTTCCGCAGATTCCGTGATCTCATGGATACTGCCCCTGCTTTCGTTTTGCAGTACGCCGTTCACGCCGTCTACAGTAGGGAGCCTATCCCTGATGGCAGCAACAACTTTCAGATAACGGGATTGAAGTCCGTCACGGACTATCGCCCTGAGCTGGTGCTTCCTGCAGTTCTCCGGTATTGCGGATACTACCGACTGAATCCTCAGCAGATCACTAGACACGGGAGAAAGGTGAGGGTTTTTGGTGAGGCGGAGTTTGCTGAGTTACGCCGCAAAAGCCCCAAGTTTGCTGGAGACCTGGCTCTGGGATTGTGGCTGGATACTATTGATATCACAGTTCCGACGATTCAGTTCCCGGGTAACTCGGAGCCCGTCAGGTCGCTTCATCCCTATATGCAGACCCCACTCGTACCACAGGGGGTAGACCCCAAGCGGTCAAATTATCAGTACGTGACTTACTTGCAGCCTTTGCCCTTCAGGGATTTCAATGATCAGCGACCTTCGAACACTCCTACATGGACCCCATCCCCTCCGTGTACCTCCACTGGGTCGTTTGTTGCCACGCGGACTCCATCGCAACGCAGCCAGACTTCATTGCAGCAGACCCCAGGCGTTCCTCAACTGACCTTAGAGCAGACAGAGGAGCGTAGCTTCGTTAACGAAGCTCTATTCGATTCCACTATGGATCAGATCTCCACGCAAATACTACAGGAAAATTCCACTGGCCCCGTCGATTTGAGTAAGATTGACTGGACACAGACGATGGACTGGAGTGGAACGGATGTATCCGATATTGACTTCAGCGCGCTTTTACATGATGAGGGGTTGGGCGAGCCCGATCTGAATGCGTGGGACTTGACACAGGCAATGAACTGGACGGAAGAGGATCTGGCCAATGTGGACTTCACCCAATTATTGACTGACGACACCATGGACTTGCAGTCTTTTGATCCATCCTGCCTGGATCGGCCCATAGACATGGATTTAGATCTACCCGACTTGACCTGGTTTGACATGGCGGGTCTACCTGAGATCGACTTCTCCGGACTGACTTCCCAGGATTTTATCGACGGTGTGTTCTCGACTCAACCCTAGTACATGGACTCACTATTTCTCGGACTAAATCACCACGTTACCGTGCCTCAGGAGGTTAGCTTTCTCTCAGAGCCATTGAACTCAGAGATGGTTGTTGACTCTACTACTTCCAGCTTGATAGCCCGACAGTCAATCCCCATTTCCGCACAAGCCCCATGTCAACAACAGGCAGCTCGTTCCATATTTCTTTCTGCGGGAGCCAAATCTCGTGCATCGTCTTCGTGTCAGAGTCAGAACTCTACCCAAGCCCGGTACCATTTGAGGAGTCGCCCGAGCGTGGTTGATTTGAGTGCGGAACTCTAGATTTGTTCATGGATAAATAACAAAACCCAGGTGAGTCATCTACTAACATTACTAGTCAGCGGTATTCGTTCTTTTCTCTTTGTCTTGTGTTTATTGTTTTTACGCAGATTGAATCGTCTTTCCACTTCTTCGTCTTAGGGGTTTGAGATCAAATTCAATTTGGCTAAAGAAAGAAAGAAAGATAACAAATCAGCAAGGACTATCTCATCGTCACATAGTTTTATCCATCTTTTTTTTTTACTCCGTGGATGATATAGAGCTCTGATAGAGAATCGATAGTACCAGGCTCGGGAATTGAGCCCTAAAACCCCCCTTTCCAGGGCAGTTACTTACATCATGAAGGCATAACCCTGTTGTCAACCCGCTATGTTCATTACACCTGGGGGGATCTATAGGGATGGGCTCCACTGGCACACATTGCCTATTCCTAGCCACTAGGTCATGCCAATACACATCAGGTCTAGAAAGTCAATCAAGGGCTATTGTTATCTTTTTAACTTGAATTAAATATAGAGAGGTCAGTTACCATAACTAGTATACACTATGTCACATACCTGATCTGCCCTACCGGCGGGTCCACGGGCTTATATCCCGGGAAGGTGTGCTGACTAATCTCCATGGTCAATTAGCCCTAGAAAAAAAAAAGACCCGGTGGGAGTTTTATGCCATTGGCATTCAAAGCTACATACCCCTCAGGGTCAGTGACTCCTTAGCGTGTGAGTCAGTGCTACAATTCATATGTACGGGTAGAGAGAGAGAGAGAGAGAGAGATGCAGAACTGTATACCCCACGTCCATTTGTGGTCTCAGTCCCCTGAGCCTTGAGTGGCAACTCTTTAAATAAATGGGGGTACACACAATTGGATAATTGCAAGTCGTGCAAGTCGTGCTATCTGTACCTTGTGAGATACATCTGCTCCGTTGAGACATGTAACCATGGACATCCACCCAGTCCACTACGTCAGAATTCTTGCCCTGTTAGATGCTTCTTTCCTTCCAACCTGAACATTGCCTATTGTCTAGTGTCCATTGTCCAATACCTGCTGTACCTCTTTGTCCCTGTTACATAACTACCAATACAATGCAATGAGGTGGTTTTCTTCCCCGCTTCGGGATTGTGCGTTCCCCCGCGATATCAGTGTCTCACGGTCGCGGGTCTTCATCTATCTCGGTCTAGCAGTCACTTTACTGCTTCTATCATATCAGCTGATTCTCGACCAGGCTCCGATTATAGGCACAAACTGGACAACGGGTCAGGGTATCAGTGTGGCCGGCGATAATGACCACGTCGTTTCAGATCCTACACAACCCGCCGAGAAGGAGTTGGTTCTCGCCGCCATGCAGGCTAGCAATATGTCTTGGGTCGAGGAATATCTGTCGGACTGGAAGGTGAATATTTATCGTGCTGATGCGAAAGATGGAGACGTTGGCTTGACCGTGCCCGTAAATAAGGGCAATGAGGCGATGGTATATCTAACGTGTGTATTCGATCTTTTGATTCCTTCCATCCCAAGCATTTTCTCATACCGATTGTCCTCTTCACCATTAGCTATATTGTTGATCGCTACCGGTCTCTTCCTGAAGTATCGGTCTTCCTACACGGCGGCCGGTACCAATGGCATGTCGATAACCCGTTATATGATTCGGTCATCTCTATCTCCCATCTCAACTTCGACTTCGTCCAGGAGGCTGGTTATGTGAATCTACGCTGCGCCTGGAGTGTCGGCTGTCCCAGAGAACTTGAACCCGCTCGCTATCTCCGCGAGCGACCAGATGACAAGGGACATCCCACGGCGGTCGAGTATCCCGATCGGTTTATGGAGCTTTTTCCGCGCGCGGAGGTCCCGGAGGTTGTCGGGACGCCGTGTTGTAGTCAGTTTGCTTTGTCCAAGACGAAGATTTACGAGCAGAGTCTTGAGCGTTATGTTCGTTTGCAGCGGTGGTTAATGGAAACGGATTTGGAGGCGGGCATCAGTGGGCGCATTCTGGAGTATTCGTGGCACAGTGGGTCCTCTCCTTTTGCGCTGATCTCCGGATGATCTCCCGCTAACCTCCGCCGTTTACAGTGATCTTTGGAAAACCGGCCCAATACTGTCTCGACCGACGTGAATGTTATTGCCAGACATACCGTTATTGTAACATGACCGATAGCGACATCCAGAAACAGTGGGTATGGCGCGGTTTACAGCTGCCCAAAGGATGGCCAGAACAGAGCGAACCCGCGGAATAGCCACGCATGTATCTCGCCTAATTATGCTTGAGTGAAAACCGAACTTTTTCCATTAGAGACCTAATCTATGTACTCCGATCATCATTTCAGGAAGCGCGATCATCGTCGCGCTAGATGCCCTTTTGTCCTCGAGCCAGCTGTTTCGAGATCCTGACCATTCCGCACAGTGGAATCCATGTATATTAGAGCCTCACCGCCACATATCCTGTTTACTCGATCGCCTGGCGTGGCCCTGACTACTCATCGGTCGCTCTTCATCAGCCGGAATCGCCAGGAACCCACCGAACCCGTTCCCGACGAGCACGCTCTTGCGCGCATCACCTCCCCAAGACCGGTTCAACTGGGCTTCATGCAAGCTTACCGGGCGCGTGGTTGAGTCGCGGCGTCCCGGTGCCGGGATTGGATCGTACGGGGTGAAATTCCACTCAAACTCATCCAAGCCCTTGCTGTACACGTTGAGGGGCTGCGAAAGCCCGCCTCGCATTTGCGGCCCATTTTCACCCCCGCCAAAGAGTCGTGGTGGAGGCATGAGCAGAAGGGTGTCTGGGAATGAGGAATCACGAACATACAAGTCTCGAAGGGCCGGTAAGGTTCGGGACACCAAACACGAGATAAGATAGGAATAGTATGAGGATACCACTGGTGGCATGCCGTGAGTCTCGGTTTGGGATGTGAGTTCATAATGCAGGAGATGCAGCGATCTCGATGCCAGGGGAGGAATCTGCCCCATGGGGAATGAGCGAGACACCTCCTGAATGACAGAAAGACTCTCCAGTCGCGGAGCGCCGGAAAGAATGCAGTGTAGTTTCGACGGAGCAACGCCGGTAGAAGATAATACCAAAGATCCCAAAGTCGCTCGGTTCGCTGGAGTGGAAAGGAACGCGGCAAGCCCGCTCGCGGTGACATGAGGGGTATCGCGAAGTGTAAGAGACTGAACGGGAGGGAATGGCGGCAGAGGCACGTTGACTGCAAATGCAGAGTCGTCAAGCCAATCGAGATTTTCGAGTGTGAGCTCCCGAAGATGGGGGAATGATCCGAGACCGGCGCGCAGAGTGCTAGCCTCCATGTGAACTCCAGATAGCTCCAGCACCTCCAAATTCACCCATAGCTGGGATCCGGCAAGACGTGCAAAACTGCCCTCGGCACCTTGGCGATAGGCCATCCGACGCAGCTCAGGGCATCGGGCCATCAACTCCTGTTTCAAGGATAGACACGATGTCTCGTCGCTGTACAAACCCGCCGGCAGATCAACAAAGCGGAGATTAGGAAGGACGGAAATCGTCCGGGCCACGTTGGCTTTGTTGGCCTCGCGGGTCATGTATGGCATTCGGAGGGACACCACCATATTCCCTAACCCCTGGGATTCTCGTACTGTTCGCATAAATAGTTCCAGACGGACTTGGGGGGCATCGATGGGATCACCATTGCGATTCAAGAATGAACGGCGTTTTCGCCTGGCAGCTAATTCGATTTCGAGTTCGCAGTAATGAACAGGGTCGATTCGGACGTGGGTATAACTGATAGCAAGACCGGTGTTAGGGTTCACCCTCGTCAACAAGGGCCTGGGGATCTCTCCTACAGAAGCGCGCGCGCATCGGAAAACCACCGCTTGTTCACGAGACTACAGTATGCCAGGTCACGCATATCGCATAGCATACAGCCATCGTTGGCAGATTCCTCGGAGGTTTCATAGGTATTATCCGTGGCGTGAGGACAAACAAAGGAGAAAATGCGTGCCAAAACTGGTCGCGGTAGCTGTTTGGTGTAATCTCGGGCGGGCACGTTAGCGCGGGGCGATGGTGGGTCGGTCGTTTCTTGGTTACTTCGTCGTGAGCTTCGTCGTGAGCTTCGCCGTAGCTTGTCAAAAAGGCCCATTCTGAAAGGAGATAGAGCAATGTTGACTCTTCAAGAGGGGAGATGACAGGGACAAAGTACGTTGATGCAGGGTCATAGTCTTCCCCCCTTTCAACCCAGCCACTAACATGAAACACTAACGGGGGGATCGGGGAGGGGGAGGGGGGTTTTCAGTCTAAGGGGGTTTCATCTTGGAGATCATCAGGATTCAAGGCTTTGCAGACAAGCAACATGGAATCACTTCTTATCGGTGCAATTGTTAGGAAGATGATCTAACGGGTGTGAGATTCCACTGGAGAATGCTTGTATCATCTATCGAGCCAACAGCGTCATTGGAGAGAAACTCCTGACATTCAGTAGGAAAGTGAACATCTCACTCATCCACGATTACCCAATTGTATCCTGGATTGGAGGTTATGATTGATCATTGACATCATCGTGGATCAGGATTGCAACCTCACATACTTCACTTACTGAACCACACACATCAATGGCTGACATCAATCGTAACTTTGATCCTTTTCCCTGGCCAGCATATCCTAACACGCTGCCAGAATCCACCTCCGAAGGACACTGGAAGCACCTGCCACCCTATGAAGGACCATCGGATGAGCAATTCGGTCTACTCAAATGGCGGGGAAAGTGTTTCTGTGGCAAGATCACCTATCTCTTGAAGCGAGAGAAACCACTCATTGCCAAATACTGCCATTGTCGCGTGTGCCAGGTGACCCATGGAGCTCCCCTTCAGTGGGCGGCGATTTTCCACAAGGACGATATCGCATTTCCCAATGGCGTGAGTGGCTTGCGATTTTACTCTTCTACCCACAATCGTCCGGACCATGTGTTGCCGACCAAGGTGTCCTGTGCCAATTGCCGAACACCGATCATGGATGAAGGCCGGAATATGTGCTTGATCTTCCCTCAATTGATTGAGCTGGCGGGATCGAGTCTGGAGCAAAGAGAGAAGACGGAGGCTTTCAAGCCGACGTATGTGTATTTTCTACTACTCTAGGACTGCAAACTGATGATCTTGGTAGATGTCATATCTTCTACCAGTCACGCACGCTAGATCTTCCCGATGGCCTTCCCAAATGGAGCGGAATGGAGAATGCTAGTGACCGGATGGACGACCACGGTCACCGGATCGGAGTCGAGCAGTGATGTCCCTCCAATGGACTAGTGGGGATGTGTACTTGTGTGAAATCGAAGGGGGGAGTAGCCAAATGAATCCTAACCGAGTTGAAGATTTCATCCATAGGTAACAATGGTAACAATTCAGGGCTCTCCCCTCGTGCCATTTTGAGATCACTGAGAAGTCTCTCTTCAGTTCTGTCATCTATGTCTCGAAACCAATCAAGTTTGATAAACCCCTTCTTTTACTTGGCACAATGTTCAACGGGTAAATAGGTTAGAAGAGGTAGAATGCCCATGGGCATACAAGGCAAGGATTGGGATCTTTCAAGGGAACAGAGAAATTGTAGTGATCAAGGGCAAAGGTAATGAATCCATATCATCCAGATCTCAACAATCTTTACAACCAGGTCAGTTCAGCATGATTGGAGGAAATGTGAATGTTCAAGTTCAAGCCTAGGCTGCAGTGTCTTTTCAAGCCCCCTCTGACCTTATATGTTTTACTTACGAGCTATCAAACTGAAAGCAAAAGAAGAGACGAAATCCAATTATCGACGTACAAGATCTGATGGAACAACCTGACTTGCCGGAGAATACATATGCCGATCGATCAGCTGATCCAAGGAGTACAACGTATGTTGTAATGCGCTTTGAGAAGTTTGATCTGGATGGCCTCTGTCGCCTAGCTGCAGCATGTTTCAGTGATGTAACCAAGTGTGTGGGCGTTATCAAACTGAAAGGAAACTTCAAAGCCTTACTTCTTACCATAGACGATGGCAACGAGGTCACAGCAAAAATCCCTTGCCCGAATGCGGGCCCACCCTTGTTAACCACGGCTTCTGAGGTAGCCACTTCAAAGGTTTTGTACGTTGTGTACGTTTTGTGTGCTCACCCTTTTAGGTGCTTTCGCACTTGGCTTAGACAAGTCTCAATCGGCGCCATAAGATGTGAGACCTTGTAAAATTTTCTATCCTTCTGCGTGGTTACGGGTGTTAAGCAATGCTGATATCTTGTAGGGTCGTGCCTTTCAGAATCTTCGTTGTCGATTTTCCGATGAGAGTTTGCTCACAAGGCAAGATCAGAAGTTGAGGTGCAGCGTCAACTCTATGATTTTGAGGAAAGCCAATCGATTGGTGAATATGAAAGTCTTCTAGCGAAAGTGAACATGATACTGCCAACCTTGTCCAGTGTGCAAAATGTTTCAGGCCCGGTCCTGTGGCACACTGACTTACATTTGGGAAACATTTTTGTTTCCCCAGATCTGCCCGGCACTATTGAAGGGATCATCGATTGGCAATCGTCTCAGATCTACCCTTTGTTCATACAAGGCTCGATTCCCAGAGTTCATCATGCCACCTAAAGACTATCATGTGGGACCTCGCTTCCCGGGGTTGCCAGATGGTGACGAGGACCTGAGTCCCGAGCAACAGAAACAGGCCACCAACGACAACGAGCTGGCATCGAGGTCCAAATACTACGAGATGTCCAGTCTTGCATCTAATAAGAGCGTCTATGAGGCCTTGAAGCTGGACCGCAGATTGTGGGAGCCTTTCACATGTTGCCAGCTATTCTTCCACGGTAGCTTGGCGTTTATTCCAGGACTGGGCCTCACTGGGCCTCCCGGGGTAACTGCCCCTCTTATGATGACAGAGAATGAATGTCAAAAACAGTATGAACAAAAAGTGCAATACGAATACAGGCTTTATCTGTGGGATCTCGTGAAGAGCCAGCTTTGCATCGACAGGGCCGGCTGCGTTCCAAATAACAGATGGGAGGCAACCTAAAAGGCGAACTTGGGAATTGCACAACACGTATATTGAGACAATGAGCGACGAGCTCACTCATGAAGCGGCCTCAATGAAATGGCCTTTTCCCCCACAACCGGTCTAATCTAGGCTGTTTCAATTTCAGATCTTTTTCTTCACCTGTTCAATCAATTCCAACATCACGCGTTTGCCTTCTTCTGGTCGCTCTTTATCTGCAATTTTGTGATTGACTTGTGCCGTTGCAAGTTTTCCATGCGGGTTCTTCCTTAGCCAGTCTCTGAGGCCCTCGCTCTTTGCCTGGCTATTGACTTGAAGGTGGACGTTGTAGTGGCCTGGCTTGTCTTTGATCTCTTCGCCCACGCCAATCCGGTATTGATATTCTGCATCATTTCTAGGTGTTTGCTTCTTTGGAAATTCTTTCTTTCTTTCCAGATACCTTTACCTGCTCCTCGATTTTGGTCCAGCGAAACACTTGGCAGATGTCTATGCTGCAACAGATTTGAAAATACCTGGGCTGGACGGAATTCCCACTCTGGAATTCTGCAAGTGAATTCCATGTTAGAAGATCAATAGTAAGGTTATAGATAAGTAAAGCTTAGCGAAGCTAAACTCATAGAGGCTCAGTAAGGAGGCGAGCTTGTAAGCCAAATCTACCTTTCGAGAAGAAGCCTTTGGTTTCTTTGCTACTATTAACCCGGCCGAGTAAAAGCGAATCCCTTATATCTCCCTAAATTAAGGCTATGCTAACTGCGAAAAGGTAGGTCGTCGATACCGGTAGGTAGATTTATATGTAAGTGACACGAGGGTTATTCGTAACTCTTGAGGACATATAGAGTGTAGTAAAGGTCGGGAATTCCTTTCACCAGCCACCCGTAAGAAAGGTGACACTTTGTCTGCTTGCCGTCGATTCTAACAAGCTTGGTATTTGTAGGACCAATCGCTCTTCTTTAGTATTAGAGGCCACAACTTGATCGTAGTTACTTGGTCTAACAAGCAAGGGAGACAGATTAACTCATCTCGAGTGGACTCCCTAAACTACCTGACTCGGGGGGGAGGAAAGGAAAGGATCTTACTGCAACATACATCTACTCATTGTCCTAGAAACATACCAGATTACATGACTATGCACGGCCTTCTAGAAGTGAACTTTTGACCTTCAATATTTGAACTTCTTGTCATCGGGGACCTGTGAAACTCAATTGAATGCCTCTTCTCACACGCTCGGGGTTGCGTCTCTCTAAGATTTCGGGGACAAATCCAAGCTATGAACAGGCACTGAAACAAGATCAACTCGAAAGTGAAAGATGATTTGATTTGAATAAGTGGTAGGCTGACAGCTTGAAGTGGAGACTTTCACTCATAGTACGGCTTTGCATCGATAAGCCTGAACGCAACTTCCTTGTCATGACCGAAGATCAACGTTGCGTTGTATAGTCTTTGAAGTCGGCGGATCATGTTAAGGCTGCGATACCATGCATTGTGATCCCGAGCTAGGCCTCCGTGGGGATGGCCCAGCTCATAATTCTCTGCAACGTGGAACTGATCCGTGGTCCAAATAAATGACCCGTCGTTGGCAAGATTGACTTGCATGATGCATAGTCCAGGAGTGTGACCAGGTGAATGGTGGAGAGTGATGCCTTGGAAAAGGTCAAGCTGTGACTCGTTGAAGGTATTCCACTTGAGCTCTTCGAGCAGCATGTAGTGCGCCAGGTAGACGCCCAAGTCCGCCCCGGTTGCGATCGCCCAACATGCGTGCTTGAATTCTTCTTCGTGGACATAGATTGGGACCTCTGTGTTTGCAAAATGCTCAAGTCCTCCGGCATGATCAAGATGCAGATGTCCAATGATGACCGCTTTCACATCTTTGATATCGTTCCCAGTGGCTTTGATAGCATTTGGGAGCTTGTGCTTGTCTGAGTATTCTACTCGTGGAAAGACATCCGTGACTGGCGCTGGCCATTTCTGTATGTCGGTTAGTATTACATGATGAATATGGCAACATAGTCTGACAAACCACTTCTAGGTCCTCAGCACAGCCAGTCTCATAAAGAATCAGGCCAACTCCCGGGTATTCAATGAGAGCGGCCAGGACCACTAAATCTCGACGTTTGTTCACTGGATTAGGGTTGCTCAAGGAACTTGTATTGCCCCCTCGGAAAATCCTGTACAAGGTCATTAAGAAGCTCAGAGCTTCATTCCCCCTCGGCAAATACACGCACCATGATTCATCTGCTTGGAGAGTACCCAAGTTGAGAATATGCATCTTGGTCCCAGCAGGACACTTGAATGCTGGGACCGCTGCAGATACCAGCAGTGCAGCGGGGACGGGGGAACTCATGTTTCAGATGGAAAGATCCAATAGAGAAAATTTGAAAAATAGGATCGTCACTAATGGT